TGAGTAGGGTTAGGGTTAGAACAGGGTTAAAAAGGATTTGAAGGTGGGGGGAGAGTCAGGTCCACTGATGGCTTGTGGGAGAGAGTTCCAGAGGCTGCACAGCTGAAGGCTCTTGACCACATGGAAGACAGCCGGGCAGGAGGTGTGGTGAGGAGCAGGGAGGAGGAAGAGAGTATGGGTGGGTGTGTAGTTGTGGAGGAGGTCAGAGAGGTGATCATGTTGTGGAGAGCCTTGAAACTGAGGAGGAGGATCATGAAGTCGATGCTGTATTTAATAGGGAGCCAGTGCAGTTGTTGGGGGACAGGAGTGATGTGTTCAATGGATGGAGATGATCTGTCAGCTGCATTTTGGAACCAGTTGGAGTTTATGGAGGAGTTTGATAAGGGAGACTGCAGAGGAGAGTGTAGCAATAATAATAAGAGTGCATTGACAAGTATAGCTGTGCTGCTAGGTGAGAGAGATGGACGGAGTCGGTTGATATTGCGCAGGTGGAAATATGCAGACTGAGTGATGTTATTGATTCGAAAGGTAGAGTGCTGTCGAGGACGACACCGAGACTCTTGACTTGGGGAGATGGAGAAACTGTGGAGTTTGGCCAAAGTGGACTTGGTGCCAACAAGTCAGCAGATGAGACATGGACCAAACTAAAACTCCAAGTAGATGTTAAATAAATGTTTGTCAAAAATGTTTCTGTCATTTCAGCTCGTTCTTATCTCACTGATGTTTGATCAAGTGTCTCCGATCAGTTTGGTTTGAATTAGTTATTGATGATGTAAAAACATTCTGAGACGTCATGATTGACAACTGACTTTATTGGGGGTATGCATCCAATGCCAAGGTGCATTATCACCACCTGATGTGTCTCAACAGGAGGAAGACGTGTCATTTTCTTTATTTCTAGTTTGTGTTCACAGCTCAGATCACAGTAGATTTACCTGTAAACAACTCACACACACGTTAGTTAGTTATGTCTGTGTTCAGTTTCATGAAGAAGTTTTATTGTGTTTCTCAGATATCTCATGGAGAAAGAAGGAAACGTGTGCAGACTGACCATCAAAGTGTGCAGACCCGATGATGAATGTGAATATGCTTGTGGAATAGACGAGAGAAGAACCAGAGCCAGACTCTTTGTTGAAGGTAAAGTCTTCAAGTCTCTTCTTTTAAAAACCTCTAAGTTAAATCTTCATGTCTCTATGTGTGACAATGTTATTTTCTCTCTCCCACAGAGACGCCGGTGGAGATCGTCAGACCACCACAGGACGTGTTCGAACCCCCGGGCTCGGACATCGTGTTCGAGGTGGAGCTGAACAAGGACAGAGTGGAGGTGAAGTGGATGAGGAACAACATGATCATTGTCCAGGGAGACAAGTACCAGATGATCAGCGAGGGTAAAGTCCACAGACTGCAGGTGTGTGAGATCAGACCTCGAGACCAGGGCGAGTACAGAATCGTCGCCAAAGACAAAGATGCCAAGGCCAAGCTGGAGCTGGCAGGTGAGTGAACACTGAAACATTTCACCAAAGAATCTTTAAGATGCCTTTTTATTGACAAAGTTTATTAACGAGATGAATTTTTCCTCTGCAGCTGTTCCCAAGATCAAAACCACTGACCAGAATCTGGTGACGGACGCCGGTAAACCTTTCCTCATGAGTGTGCCCTACGATGCTTACCCTCGTGCCGATGCTGAGTGGTTCTTTAAGGGCTCGAGTCTGCCTGTCCAGAACATCGACACCTCCACTGACAAGACCGAGTTCCGTTTGAAGAGCCCCAGCAAGGAGGACCAGGGCCGCTACAAAGTGCTCATCAAGAACAAGCACGGCGAGGGCGAAGCGTTCATCAACCTGGATGTGATTGGTGAGTCAGGGGTCAGATTCATGATGCTGTTGTATGTCTGTGGATGTTTTTTTACATGGTTACATGGTTTTCAGACGTCCCTGGACCTGTCAAGAACCTGAGAGTGGTCGACACAGCTAATGGAGAGGTCAGTTTGGCCTGGGAGGAGCCTGAGAGCGATGGTGGAAGCAAGATCATTGCTTACGTTGTGGAAAGACGCGACGTGAAGCGTAAGACCTGGACTCTGGCAACAGATCGTGCTGATGCTCTAGAGTACTGTGTTGGCGGCCTCCAGAAGGACAGTATGTACCTGTTCAGAGTCTCTGCCAGAAACAGAGTCGGCAGTGGACCCACTGTCGCCACCGAGGACCCTGTTCAGGCCAAGAACAAGTTCGGTGAGTATCAACCAAAGGTTCCTGCTTAATGCGTATTCACATGTTTATCCAAATCGAATCCTTAACATGTTTTTTCATCAGACGTTCCTGACGCTCCAGAGACTGTCACCGTGGCCAGCGTGAACAAGTTCGGTGCCACCGTCACCTGGGAGCCTCCCAAATTTGATGGTGGCTCTGAGATCACCGCCTATGTGATAGAGCTTCGTGACAGGACCTCTGTAAAGTGGGAGGCAGCCCTGGTCTGCAGCTCTGTCGACCGTTCGGCTGCACTGAACGATGTAGTGGAGAACAAAGAGTACATCTTCAGAGTCCGAGCAGAGAACAAGGCCGGCATCGGAAGACCCAGCGCTGCCACAAACCCCGTCAAGATCATGGATCCCATTGGTGAGTAAACACAAGCTGTTCAGTTTGTAACCTGATGTCTGTAAAACACCCAAAACTTTGTTTCATTGGATGCTTTGTGTTTTGGCTGCAGAGAGGCCGAGTCCACCACAGAACATGAACTACAGCGACCAAATCAGTTCAGCCGTCACACTGACCTGGGAGACGCCCACCAGCAATGGTGGTAGCATGATCACTGGCTACATCATTGAGAAATGTGATGAAGGCAGTGATAAGTGGCTCCGCTGCAACGCCAGACTGTGTCAAGATCTTTCCTACAGGGTACATCACAATCTCCTCAACCATCTTCACACATGCTGATTGATTGTTTTTGTACGCGCTGATGTGAAGGTTCACATCATAACAAAGTTGATCTTTTCTCCTCAGGTGTCTGGTTTGAAACCAGGTCAGAAGTATCTCTACAGGGTCTGTGCTGAGAATGCCGCCGGCCTCTCAGATCCAGCCGAGAAGCTTGGACCGCTGCTGGCTGACAACCCTCATGGTACGAGAATCATGAATCATCTACATAAGTAAAAAGAAAACTGTATTCATAGATGTCGTCTCAACAAGCAGCAGAACCAAGAGTTTAAATCCTGATTCAACCAGACTTTATTTTCAATTTCATGTAAAATGTTAGAAATTTAAATGGTATTGATTCAGTGAAGTTATACAAAATTACAATGTTCACAACAAACATCATCTGGATGGCAGCAAAATGTTTAACCCACTCTTCTCTAAATGAGGCATAAATCTGGAATGGTTTTTTTTCAACAGTTGGTCCAGGCTTTGACCTCAGTGCCTTCAGGAACGGCTTAGAGGTCATCGTTCCTCAGCCTCTAACCATCAGAGTTCCGATCTCCGGATACCCGACACCCAGTGCCAAGTGGACCTTTGGAGAGAAGGAGCTGATCACAGCAGACGAACGTGTCTCCATGGTAACGAAGCCCACGTTCACGGAGCTGACAGTCATGCCGAGCGTCCGTCCAGACAAAGGCACCTACGCACTGCAGCTGGAGAACGATGTGTCTTCTGTGTCCGGAGAGATTGAAGTCAATGTCATCGGTAATATTAAATTCATTCAATTATTATGAATTATTAAAGTCAGTGTCTCCTAATGTGTAATGACAGTAAATACATTTCTTATGTTAGTTTGTCCTTGATCTCCTCTTTGAATTTTATTTACTTAAACAAAATGATTTCTTCTTCACCTTTTTCCCAGCATGCCCCAGTGCTCCTAAGGACTTCAAGGTGGCTGAGGTGACACGTCACCACGTCCACCTGATGTGGGAGGTGCCAGAGCACGACGGAGGAAGTCCCGTTACCCACTATCAGATCGAGAAGAGAGAAGTGTCTCGCAAGACCTGGGCCAAGGTACGTCACTTTAGCTCAGTGATGATGTCATACAGAGCGTTTCTCTCCGTGATTATGTCATTTTTATTCAATTGTATTTGTACAGCACAGAATCCTAATATACATTATCTCAAGGTTCTTAACATAGTTGTAGCGAAACCAACAATTCCCACTCACACTTGATGATGTCACACTTTCCACGTCACGTTCAAAGTTCATCGTTAAAACATTTTTAACATATAAAAAAACATGTCCAGGTGGCGACTGGCATCCTGGACCTGGAGCACACGGTGACAGATGTGATTGAAGGGAAGGAGTATCTGTTCAGTGTCATCGCCTGTAACAAGTGCGGCGCCGGTGAACCGGCGTACATCGACGAGCCCATTAACGTCTCTTCTCCTGCCAGTGAGTTATTCTTTATGTGTTTCCATGAGATCTGACATTTTCTTTCCAGTTTTGTAATAAAGAATCTCATGAACAACATGTTTTTGTTTCTGCAGCCGTTCCTGATCCTCCTGAGAACCTGAAGTGGCGTGACAAGAGCGGCAAGAGCATCTTCTTGTCCTGGGAGCCTCCGAAGTACGACGGCGGTTCCCACCTCAAAGGATATGTTGTTGACAAGTGTCAGCGTGGAACCGATAAGTGGGAACCGTGTGGTGACCCCATCCCTGAGCTCAAGTACGTCTTTTGTGAATTAGTGTTGTCGTGTTAATATTTGTCCATAAGTTGTGTATATATGTTGTTATGTGTATATTAGTATAGAAGTTGTGTATAAGTGTTGTTGTGTGTATATTTGTCCATAAGTTGTGTGTAAGTTTTGTGTGTATATTTGTGTAGAAGTTGTGTATATATGTTGTAATGTGTATATTAGTATAGAAGTTGTGTATAAGTGTTGTTGTGTGTATATTTGTCCATAAGTTGTGTAGAAGTTGTGTATATATGTTGTGTGTATATTTGTCCA